AAGACGGCTGGTGGCGTCTGGCAGCCGGAACAAAACATCACATACACCAGAGATGGAAGTCATTGTCATCATGCAAATATCCGGCCCATTACGAGTCACTTCCCCCGCCTTCCTCAGTCACTACATAGTTATTAAAAATCTGGCCACCCTCCCCCCACGCGCCGATAATAGGTTTTTGAAAGGTGGGAGCAAGCTGCCGTCAGCGGGCCGAATGTTCAGGTGTCTGGCTCGCGGCTCCGCATCACCCGGCAACCTCATTGTGTGCAGATGTGTTCTCGGCAAGTCGGAGAACAATCCTAGAATCATGGGGCTATTTCTAAAGGATGTTGGACAAAAAGAACAACCTCGTTACACCGAAGGGCAAAATGTCGGAACATTGTGGGTCAAGTGTAGGGCAACGGTAATCTCCAAGCAGATGATTGGAGGGGAGAACCGCCGCGCACTTTTCCTAGTTTTTCTGTGCTAGTATTAAAGGTGAGATGCATGAAAACTATATAGCAGAACCAATGACAGTTTCCCTCTCCCGTATCTGACTGCTTGGTGGTCGAACTGCACCAATGACATCATGATATTTTGGTACTCACAAACATTTCTCATGCAGGGAATTCTACCGGCTACTTGTAGGCTTTGCTAATTCACGAATACCTTGCTCGCCCGACACGCAATCTAAGATTGCTGTACCTATTGATGAAGTAGCATATACTTGAATCACAGTGATCATGAATCTACACCCGTTCCTATTTTGTTTAAAAAAGAATACAACTTGCTTGTTTATGATTGTATACACACTAATTGAGGGGTCTCTGGTCTAAGAATTAGTTCTTTGTTCTCTTTTCGAGACGTTTGTCTATTCTACTACTGGCAAAATATTGGAGGTGATAGGATACATCTAGGCAATGACTTTATTCGTCCAAGCAAAAACAACTAGGCTATTTCTCTAGTTCAAACATAAGTCGTTCCCGTGCTGCAGCACTCCAGGGGCGCTCATAATACGGGGCGTTCACTTAAAATCGCCACCTAGCGGAAGTCACCGAACTGCACGCTCATGACAGTCGGCTGTTGTTGGTGTCACGCCCAACCCGGACGACAATAGCACCGGTTGCCATTGTCCGGCGTTGTAAACGATCGTTTTATGGCGACTAATGACGGACATAATCACCGCGACAGTGACAAACGACGGTACTTTTGTGCCAGGCTTCCCCCGCAGCCCGGTGTAAAGGGCGGTGTGAAGATGATGGATGCCCGCTCGCCCCGACCTGTCCCGCCGGGCAGTGATGGATAGTTGGCCGCAGTGTTCCTCCCGTCCGTCCGCTGCGCCCAAACAAGTGGACTCGGAACACGCATCCTTTGTGTCCAGTGTTGACCTTTCTCGCCCCCTCCATCAATTTTGTCCACTGACCAGCTTAGGATTTGAGACCTGTGTGGTGGATGACAGATGATCCTTTCTTCCATCTGCCCAGTCCGTTTAGAAGGGAATTTCTGCGGTCTACACGACCGTCCGTTTGTTTTAGTTCTCCCCGCACACTTGTAGCGCCAGCCCGGGCCGTTCCCGTCTGTCCTGGCGCTACCGTGTGGAGGAAGGTCCGGTCTTGGACGTGTTTTAGGGACAGAACACCAAGGCCAAGTAAACAGATGTTGTCGTGGGGACACAATGGGGCGACCTGTCCGGCGGGGTCTTTAGGGCAAGGCCATTCATCTTCTGACCCCGACATCATTTTTCACGAATTAAAGACTGTAACATTCGATTTTTCATTCTCGACTTGCATTTCGTAGGAAACGCAGCGTTCGGCTCACGAATGTTTCACTTTGTACAAGAGGTGGGCGACTAGGTGCTCTTTAGCGAGCCTTTTGAAGGCTTTTCCCCGCCCGGTTCGCCGTTGACCCTGTGTTTGCGAGCAGCTTTTATGGGTCTTTGTTCGACGACCTCAGCGTGCTCTCGGGTCGGGCGGGTTGAGCGCTGAGGGAAATCCTGCGAGCATGTTTGTGTCTTCCCGCTGCAACTGGTTGTTATTTTTCTCCACTGGCAAACTTGTACTTCCCTTCTGCAAACATATCTTGTCATATAGTTAAAGATTAGGGTAAAAATCACACGTTTATCGGGAGAATTTAAGGTTTCGGAGTTGCCATATGGCGACCTACAGCCATGTTGTGGAGCGAAGGGTTCACAGCCGTTTGCCCCCTAGGAAAATACAGGTCGTGGTCCCGTTGACTTTCTCCACAGTGTCATGACCAACACCATTGTTTGGTTAAGCTCACAAAATGGGCCGGAAAATCGCCGATATAGTCGGTGCACCTGAGTCTCCGGGGCGGGCGGGGGCTGCGCGTGGCCGGTATTGTACCCACTGTCAGTCCGGTCATCATAGATAGCGTGGACGTAGGCTTCTGCACTTCTACTTCATCAAGTCAGTGCAGGGAAGCTCGGCTTTTCGAGCGAATGAAGATCAACTTGAAATCACATCAGAGGGTACTCTTAACGCCTCATTCACGCCTACAAGATGTTACCCGCCGAACCGTAACAAACGTCACGAAAATCAGATATGCAATTTCATAGTCCACCCGGTATCGAAATAGATATTTTGCAGTTTCAGTTCAAAGTTGAAACAGATATCAAAGACATGGCAGCATATCATAACATTTTTGTCAGAAAAGAGAGCGTTGACCGATATATTTCGATATTCTGGATGTGATCTATTTCACAGCTGATTAGCTGCACACGATCTTGACATGCGAGTAATATAAATATGGCGCACGAGTCGTTAGCGTTGGCTGGACTCATCAGGCGGCCTGACAGGCGACCTACCGTGTCATGGTCCCATTTTTCAACATGGCGTCGGACGAAGGAAGGTTACCTGTTCGAAAGAAAACTCAAGTTCACGAATGGAGTGGGAAAAGGTCATTCACGCTGCTAAATTCGCCAGAACATTTGAATCTAGCAGAGCAGAGTTGTCTGGCCATGGAAGCTTTTGCACGAAGTGGACCATCGCTTCACAACACAACACAACACAACTCCACACAATCTCCTTATTTGGTCAGGGTGCCTGACTTGTTGCACACTTCCAGGAGAAATAGTAGTCGGAATATTCATTTCCCAGTAAAAGCTTAGAGGAAGTAGCGATAGCTTTTCCATATAGAAGAAGAATTTTGCTCAGCTGCCTGTACCTCCGGGGCCTATCCACTGTTACTATAAAATGGCGACTGTAATATTTTAGTCGTCCCCCTGAGGAAAACAGCAAGTTGTTGGCATACTTTCAGAGAGATCGAGCGACTTGAGACAAATAAGGGCAAGCCTGGCTCTCGTGAGGTTTTCCCGCTTTATCCTACGAGCGATACGATCCCGCCGAAGGGACGGAGTCGGGTGGCGGGAAACTTTTAGACGACTCCCCGTGGACGCCGCCAGAGGCGACACGTGGGTTACCCAGGTCGTACTGTTAAATTAATGAAGCACGCAAAATCGTTCATTTTACAATAATCACTTAACTGGCACTGTGAAAATCATGCCAAATTGCCGAATCGGTTACAACACACGCCTTGTAGCTGCTATTGATAACACGGCCTCTCAGGAGAGATGGCAAAAGGGGAACAGAATTGAAGTTAATCCAAGATAAGATTTTGTAACCATGACAGCTCGGATCGACAAGTATGCTGGCTATCACCACCGGGCATCAGAACTAAATTTAATACATCATCATGCTGCAGCGTCGGCCCCCCTTGAATGGTAGACAAGGAAGGCACATTTCCTTACAGGGCGACAAGTTCTGGGAAGTTCGTCTGAAGGTTTTGTATAAGAATGTACCTGCTGCAGACCCCAGACCCACTTCCACGGGAGCTCCTCCTCACAAGAACCTGCACCCCTGCTGCAACTGTCGGCCAGCTCTTACACCCGTACCGAGTAAGTTTCTCCTTGGTCTTGATTTTTTTTCTTACTCTCGTTCTTTGTAATTTAAATGGGCCTGCAGAGAACAGTTGTCTTAGTTTTAATTCAAAGACATTTTAAGAGATCTTTATTACAATTGAACATCATTACTTATTTTGTTAACGATTAGAGATTCAAACACGTCATGCAGCACCAAAATCGAACGTTATGTTTCCAAAATGTTTCCTCTTTGAAAGCTTTAAAGTTTAAGCTTAGCATTGAGACTCTCTAGTGGAGGGCCATTCCCTAATAGCGATTCTCACACAATAGCTTTCTATATCTTAGAATTAACTTATTATTGTAAAGTCTTAGCTTATTATTGTAAAGTCGCACGACGTTGTACTACTTTGAAAACATTAAGAGCTGAGATGAATATTGTTTTCGTAAGTCAAGGCCAGTTCGGGATATTTTCTAATGTCTGAACTTTCCTCTTCCCCCAGTCTCTGACTCATCTGACCAATCACAATGGAAGAAGAAGAGGCCACAGCTTTGGTGATCGACAACGGCTCCGGCCTGTGCAAGGCTGGCTTCGCCGGCGACGACGCGCCCAGGGCAGTCTTCCCTTCCATCGTCGGCCGCCCAAGGCATCAAGTAAGTTGAAAATCCTAGCCTTAGCCTGGACTCCAGCCTTGTTAGCTTTGGTCCGCTCCCCAAGATCTGCTCCCCAAGGCTGGACTCCAGGCTAGAAAATCCTGGTTTCAACACTTGCTCTGTTATGTGCTTGACTTTGCCTTCCCAAACGGCTGAAGTACATGAAGAACGATTCCACTAGCAATACTGGCCTCCAAAATGAAATTTCTTCTCCATAAGATACAATGGGTATTTTCCCATGCCCCGTGAAGAACAGAACGGTATTCTGACCAGCATCACTAAATACAAAGAAATTGCATGTAGTAAATCAAATACAATACCCTACTGACAATTTTCACTGCTACATTTCTAGATCTGTTTCTCGAACAAGAAAATATGTTCATATTTTTTGGAACGACTGTGACACATGAATTCTGCTGGTACTGCGACATTTGGATGTCACAAGGATTTTAATAAGTACTATTTGTCTTTCTCAGGGCGTGATGGTCGGTATGGGCCAGAAGGACGCCTACGTGGGTGACGAGGCTCAGAGCAAGAGGGGTATCCTCTCTCTGAAGTACCCCATCGAGCACGGCATCGTCACCAACTGGGACGACATGGAGAGGATCTGGCACCACGCTTTCTACAACGAGCTGCGTATTGCCCCCGAGGAGCACCCCATCCTCCTCACTGAGCCGCCACTCAACCCCAAGGCCAACAGGGAAAAGATGACCCAAGTTAGTCCGTAGTTTGGTAGATTTCCCTGTTATAGTGACGAAAAGATCATTTCAAAAGCCGTCAGTTTCACTAGCCTGGATGCCAGGAACACTAGGCCAAAAGTTATACCTCGCACACTGGATAACTTTGGCCTAGTAGGCCCTAGTATGCTATGGGTCTGGCATCTCGTACAGTTTCTCAAGGCGGAAACGGCAAAAACGGCACCTGGCCAAGTATCCACCAGTATCTTAGCTTCTTAGGATCGTTTTTATACTAAACACATTGGCATTCGGACATACAGCGCTACTTTACGATGGCTTTCCCCTAACCATGCCAATCTTATGTCTGTGTCCATAACTAATAATTGTCCTATATCTCCCAACAGTTGATGTTCGAGACCTTCAACGCCCCCGCCATGTACGTGGCCATCCAGGCCGTGCTGTCCCTCTACGCCTCCGGCCGTACCACCGGCATTGTCATGGACACCGGCGACGGTGTGACCCACGCCGTGCCCATCTACGAGGGCTACTGTCTCCCCCACGCCATCATGCGTCTGGACCTGGCCGGCAGGGACCTGACCCACTACCTGATGAGAATCCTCTGCGACCGCGGCTACTCCTTTGTAACCACTGGTACGTGTTCATCGCTATTTGTATGTTGTGTGGGTATCAGCGGGTTGTATGGGGGACAGGCGTAATATCGTACCACAAATGCAATGTGACTTCCCACCAGGAAATCTTCTTTTTTTTTCTTAATAGTGCAGAAAAAAATGATCAGGACAGCATTCACGTAGTTCTGATAAAACATATATCAAAATTGGGCAATATGTAAATGGCCTGGTTTTAGTCTAAGGCGAATCACCATGATGGCCAAGGGTTCGCAATGTAGACACGACTATTTGATGAACCATCCTGACCCGAAAACCCTTCCCCTACAGCTGAGAGAGAAATTGTTCGTGACGTGAAGGAGAAGCTGTGCTATGTGGCCCTGGACTTCGAGCAGGAGATGATGACCGCGGCCACCACTTCCAGCCTGGAGAAGAGCTACGAGCTGCCTGATGGACAGGTCATCACCATCGGCAACGAGAGGTTCCGCTGCCCAGAGACCCTCTTCCAGCCATCATTCATCGGTAAATTTCTTCTCATTTCTTTTTCTTTAAGTTTTACCTTCTTTGACGTTTTATCGAAAGTCTATGAATGTAAGATATGACAGAAGAACAGTGGACTCTTGTTCTTAACTGAGGCACAAGTCGTTTTCGTGATAGGCAGCTTTTGTCGCTGTGTGAAAATCTAATGAAAGTTTGGTTTCTCCACAGGCATGGAGTCCCCGGGCATCCACGAGCAGACTTACAACAGCATCATGAAGTGCGACATCGACATCCGTAAGGACCTGTACGCCAACAACGTGCTGTCCGGCGGCACCAGCATGTTCCCGGGTATCGCCGACCGTATGCAGAAGGAGATGACCGCGCTCGCCCCCAGCACCATGAAGATCAAGATCATCGCTCCTCCCGAGAGGAAGTACTCTGTATGGATCGGTGGGTCCATCCTGGCCTCCCTGTCCACCTTCCAGCAGATGTGGATCACCAGGCAGGAATACGACGAGTCGGGACCAGCAATTGTCCACCGCAAGTGCTTCTAAATGTTTCGTAGAGAGAAGAAGGAAAGATGGAAAAACGTCTGTGAAGGAACTGTGGTAGGATAGAAGCAGTTTAGCACAGGAGGAAAACAGGAAGTCAGAGATTTGGCGCTCTAATTGGTATTTTGGTCAGTCATGTCCCCGGGGACGAGAATCTGACGACAGGTTGCTGAAAACCAATGCGCATGCGTGGCTGCTGTACCCTGGGGACGATACAAAATGGCGCCTCCCCACTGCCCGGTATTACCCCATGTTACGTAATGCATGTTCTGTGGACAAGATCGTGAATATATGTGCCAGACATCCATCTACCGAGAAGATAACAAAATATGAAAACGGATATCTTTGTTTTTGTAAAACTTTGTACTACTCTTTTTTTGCAAATATAAAGGCTGATCCAAGCAATGTGATTTGTCTGTGGTCTTGTTCTCTCTTTATTCGGTTTAAGTTCTACAGACCTCGAAATATATAGATATCATTTGGCAAGGCAACGGTCCTATTAGCCTGGGTACCATCCTACTTGTATGCCGGGGCTCCCACACTCGCTTCCCTATTAAAGAAGTACTTGTTAGGGAAGCGAGTGTGGGAGCCCCGGCATACAAGTAGGATGGTACCCAGGCTACGGTCCTATATGGCGATGGATATGAATTCTTAACTAGACTTGTTTTGACATGCTGTCAACTGAACCAATACTGGTGGTCCTATACTGGCAAGAGCCCTTTGAGATACTCGTCCGACGTTGGAGCACTCAGTGAAACACTAAAGAAGTGTAGAGAAATTTTAGGAGTTCGGATTCCAATGACATCATACTTCATTGCACAACAATTATACAAAGACAAGTATGGAATCTGTTCATATACAACAAACATACTATGAGACTAATCTACCTTACAAAGACTGTGTAGTGGGATTATGGGAAGAGAGTAGCTTTAATTTTGCAGTCAACACAAGTATACTAAAATGTTCAGAGTCCAAGGTTGGTACTTCATGGTATTCTCGCTAGAGGGTGCAACACACCAACTACAAATATCTTCAGCACACAACAGCTGCCACACACACTCCTCTTCGCCTTATATGGACATGACTGTCAATGATATAAAAAACAAACGCCGATGTCGATCAAGTATGTAGATTAACTTGTTCATGGTCCAGATGTAGGATCGCTAACCACTGGACTACGCTTAACCAACTAGTTTGGTCTACGGTTTTGTTTTCTCAAAAAAAGCAAATACATGTACTTCAGTCAAGAAAAGGGATTTCAGGGCCCAGGACCTGATGAAGATACTTGGCATTTTGGAATCCAAAGTAAAGTTAGTTGACTATCAACATCAACTTTTGACAATGACGGACTAAATGCTTCTTCATCATCCCGAGGAAATCTAAATCAAGTGACTCAATTGCAAACTTACTAGCAAGGTGCATGTGCTTAACAAGACAGAAGCTCCCTCTTCAGCTCTTGTAATCAGTGCGCGCTTCGCACTATGGTAATACTAGTAATAACTCACCCCGTTCCCAGGATTCAAATATTTCCCCTGTACCTTACAATTGTAAGTTGTGATGTCTAGCGTCTTGTAAATATATCAGAAGAAGCCATTAGGCCATATCATGGCTTAATCTCATTAAATACGAGAAGGACATTCCCAACTCTTGTTTGACTATATTTGGGAAATCTGGAGTCAGCTGGGAATCCAGGAATATCTGAAGACTGTGGGTCAGTGCAACAGAAAGGGATTTCTTCTTCTGAGAAGTGCATCCCAAATAAGCTGGCCCAGAGCTTCAATCGGTTATTCGTGCCCTTATATTTTCTTCCCTTTTGTGGTAGACCATGCATTCTTGTATAATACTGAGTGTTGTGTAGCCTGGGTGGCTAACCGTGTTCCCAGGCCCTACACAGGCTCCTCGGCTCCAGGCCTACATGCCCCCAAGGAAATTATACAGATAGCTTTGCTACTAGCCCTGATCAAGTGAAACTAGTCTGTAAGGTCTGTAGGTATCTATCGAGGACAACTGTACTCGTTCTTCACTGAAGAGTCAAAAAACAAAACACAAGGCCATTAGAAAGTCTTGAACCATTTATTCACAATGTTCATCCTGCAAACATAGTCTATAGTGCCATGACGGTTGGTGATCGATGTTTGGTGATTCATGATTTGTGCGTATGTACAAATTAGAAATAAGGCAAAGTACAGAACCCCTCTTCTTCGTCTTCAAATCTCGACAAGTCAGCAATTGGTAAGGCAATTCTGGGAATTAGAAACTCCAATTCAAACGCTACTATACACGACTTCGCCAGTCACCCACACAGTTCAGTCACTTGCATTTATATTATATTCCCCTTCCCATAGCACGGCTCAATCGGAATAGTATTCATCTCAATGTACTCATTTGTCAACTTACATATGTTACTTAGTCATAGTAGCGATCAAATTGAAGTTTACGTCAAAGATTCAATTTGTGTTTTGTATTTAGAAGCATTTCCTGTGCACGATGGACGGTCCCGACTCGTCGTACTCCTGCTTGGTGATCCACATGGCTTGGAAGGTGGACAGGGAGGCCAGGATGGACCCGCCGATCCACACGGAGTACTTCCTCTCGGGAGGAGCGATGATCTTGATCTTCATGGTGCTGGGAGCCAGGAAGGTGATCTCCTTCTGCTGACGATCAGCGATACCGGGGTACATGGTGGTGCCGCCGGACAGGACGTTGTTGGCGTACAGGTCCTTACGGATGTCGATGTCGCACTTCATGATGCAGTTATAGGTGGTCTCATGGATTCCCGTGGATTCCATACCTAGAAAAACAAGAGGCATTGTAAGAAAATATATCAAATGAGCTGACATACTAGTAGTTGTCAGAAAATTAGATGCTAAAATATCAATGTGTGACAAAATAGTAAACGTATAACATATACTTAAAGAAATAATTTAAAAATGATACACATACCGAGGAAGGAAGGCTGGAAGAGAGCCTCCGGTGCCCTGAACCTCTCGTTGCCAATGGTGATGACCTGTCCATCAGGCAGCTCGTAGCTCTTCTCCAGACTGGAGCTCGTGGCCGCCGTCATCATCTCCTGTTCAAAGTCCAGCGCGACGTAACACAGCTTCTCCTTGATGTCACGGACAATCTCACGCTCAGCTAAGGAAAAATGGGATGTTATTTTAATGTTGATATCTCTTAAAATCAGAGTTTGTCCTTGCCTTATTGTTATATCTTGCAAGGTTCAAAATGTTTATTTTAATAGGAAAACAGGAAAATATTGAAAGAACGTGACAGCGTCACGGACAGTTCGCAAAAAGTACCATCCTATAGTTCACAAGTTTGCCATGATTTTGCGTATGCTACTGACAGTAATTGAAATGTTTTATTTTGCCTCCGTAAATGACACATGCATTGCTACAATAGGTGCAGCTTCGGCCCTTCTCGTTGTTGCTTGTATGAATTCCGCTAGGTGGACCTTTTCATGAGTTGTGAACAGCTGGTACGTGTGACTAGTAAGTACAAAGTCATCTCAATTTTAACAAACCTGTGGTGACGAAGGAGTAGCCTCTTTCAGTCAGGATCTTCATGAGGTAGTTGGTCAGGTCCCTTCCGGCCAGGTCCAGACGCATGATGGCGTGAGGCAGGGCGTAACCCTCGTAGATGGGCACGGTGTGGGTCACACCATCGCCGGAGTCCAGCACGATACCAGTTGTACGACCGGACGCGTAGAGGGACAGCACGGCTTGGATGGCCACGTACATGGCGGGCACGTTGTAGGTCTCGAACATGATCTATACGGAACGTTTAAAAGATGTAAAACATGGCACTGATGGTGGCTATGATTATTGTATACATCCTAGTGAATCATAGACTTTTAAAGTTATGGTAAATGTTCCAGTGTAAAAAGAGTCGGTAAAATGCAGACTTTGCAGTCCTAGAACACGCTTCAGTCCATGATTTACTTTTTCGGGCTTGAGAAGCTGAGCTGTAATTACCTGTGTCATCTTTTCCCTGTTGGCCTTGGGGTTCAGGGGAGCCTCTGTCAGCAGGGTTGGGTGTTCCTCTGGGGCTACTCGGAGCTCGTTGTAGAAGGTGTGGTGCCAGATCTTCTCCATATCGTCCCAGTTGGTAACGATGCCATGCTCGATGGGGTACTTCAGGGTGAGGATACCCCTCTTGCTCTGAGCTTCGTCTCCGACGTAGGCGTCCTTCTGACCCATACCGACCATCACGCCCTGATGCCTTGGGCGGCCGACGATGGATGGGAAGACAGCCCTGGGGGCGTCGTCGCCGGCGAAGCCAGCCTTCACAAGTCCGGAGCCATTGTCAACAACCAGAGCAGTCGTTTCCTCGTCGTCGCACATGATGAAAAGTTATACTGGATAGAAAAAATAGAAATCATGTACTTTAGTATGAAGCCAAGCAATTAACACAATACAAAAACAAAGCAATGAGAAACGTACGCGGTCATTATTGGCCTCGGACGTTAGAACGAAAGAAAGGGTGCCAAATAGTTGAAGTGAAATGGTATGTTTTCATTATCAGAATTCAATGCAAGAACTTGGGAAGTTCAATGCAGTCACAAAGCCAGAGGCCGACGTACAGAATCGAGCCTGAAGTACTTGTAATGAGTAGGATAGATGCATTTCAGTCACATAAAAATTGCCGTGATTTCGCTGAAAGTCCGAATTAGACTACGATTATCCATCAATAGTTTCACAGTCTATTAGGCAAAGTCTGTTTACAGCATTAGGCCCAGCTCAGTAAAATCAGCCCTTACCGTGTGTTGGTCCCTCGGAACAAGTCTGGCGAAGTGATCGGACGGTCAGTGTGGCCGAAAGTGCCGGCAGAATCCTTCCACCGTGCTTTATGCACACACGGCTTCACAATCTTCTGGGAAAAGTGACCCATATTCAGCCAGGAATGGAGCCTTTGTCTCTTTTACGGAGGTTCCCTCTGTTAATGGACTGTCCTACTTGGACGAGGGGCGGACGACCAAAAATGGAACGGGTGGATTTGGTCAAGAATGCGGGGGAAGAACGAATTCCGCGAACCGCTCGACATGACGTAACGTATTTCTGTCACCAAAATCTGGGAAAATTCTTTTTCCTTCTGTATGACCTATCACTGCTTTTGCTGTACCATGAATGGTATTGCTATTTCAGTGTCACGGTGAAATGAAAACTTGTTCCCAAAGAGTTAACATTTAACAATTTCCCTTGTACACTGTAGTGGCTCCGGAATCGTTCTACGTGTAGAGGGATTATTGCTGACAGTACGGGTACAACGCTTTAGGCTTTCCGGCAAAAGTTACATGCAAATAACATTTTGCCGTATATCATTTCAGTCTTTGTGTACAGTTGTTTCATATAGCAGATTTAGATGACTACGGTTCAGTTTGTTGTGTCCTGCTTTCATTGACAGTGTTTTGTGTTATGGTGATAGCATTCTGTCTGTTTTTTCAAAAGTGTGTTTTTTAACTAAATCTTAATGAACTTCGATTGACCCTTAGGATTTGTGACTTCTAGATAAAGGTTAATTTAGTTTGCAAAAAGGTTACGATCGAACTTGCTATGGCCATCGGGTTGAAAAAATTATGTTGTGGGAAATACAAAGACTTCATTTGTGTCAAAATCATAATGTACGCTTTCTCAGGCACATGGTGGACAGCCAGCGGCCATAGACGTTTTCACACACGTGGTGGTAGGTCAGTACATACTGTCGTCATACATATGGTAGCGGCCGCTAAGTTTTCCCTCGACATGGCAGCCCCTCCGTTTCCCGGGACTCTACCTCCGACTTGTCCGTGCTCATAGTGGCGGTGTGTCAATATTAGCCACTTTGTCAGGGGGCGAGCTCCAACGTTTCGCCCGTACCACACAACGCGACCTCCCGCCTCCCCGCACGTCCGGCTTGGGGACCCCCCATTTCAGCACCAAGGACAGCGCCTGACGGGCAGGTGACGCTGGTTCAAAACAGTATTGTGTAGACTGTTGTTCTTGTTTTTGCACTATTTGCACTTGATTGAGCTGACATAACTACAAATTGATAATCATAATAGTAATAGATTTTCAATGCGCAGTGGTGGTTTTTCTGGTTTCTCCCCGCCTTGAAATAAGGATTATAACACTGATATCGTTACCATGAAATTGTTACGTTTAAAACCTTCTTATATACCTTACTAACACTCAATACTATAGTCATAATGGTAGTGGCTTCGATGAGCATTGGATATTTATATTTTACAGTTTATCTACGCTAATCTTTTTGATATTTCTATTCTAGCCGCACGTCTGCCCACACCGCTCAAGTTCGCCCCTCCACATTTGGTTACCTTACATCGGCAACACTCCCCTTAGTAGTCTCCTAGTCTTTCCGTATAGGTCCGTGTAACGACAACACACTGATATACTTGGTGCTATCTAGGTGCTGCTTTTGTATATGCATGTTCACAGCGATGAAGTTTCATTCCATTTTCGTCCCACGATTTTCCTACCCATTCAAGTTAGCAGTTGTTCTCTAACGTAAATGATATTTCACATACAATTAACCACAGCTATTACACCAACCATTTTCAAATGAGAGCGTTTATTGCGAATAAACGTGAAGTAATATAAAAGCACATTGTAGTAAAAGTTATATTATATTGGTAGAACCAGTGTCCAGGTAGGTATATGCCGTATTGTGTACTACAGCACACCATATAGTTTTACAAGCCAAAAACTTAGCTTAGTGTTAGTCCCGACCACTTATCTCTCAATAGTGTGTAATAAGAAAGATGGATGGATGGATGGATGGATGGATGGATGGATGGATGGATGGATGGATGGATGGATGGATGGATGGATGGATATGGATGGATATGGATGGATATGGATGAATAAAAGAGTTGATGGACGGATGGATGGGTGGGTGGTTGGTTGGATGGATGGATGAATAGATTAATAGATACATGAATGCATGGATGGGTGGATGGATGGATGGATGGATGGATGGATGGATGGATGGATGGATGGATGGATGAATAGATGGATGGATGACTACTATGAATAAAACAAATATTACAGATCAAGATGATGATAGCACAATGCATGCTTTACTCCAGTCAGAAGCCTGCATGAAACGATTACTACAGAGAAGATCATTAGATGATAACTGCACGAAAACGTTAAACATGATGGGCAGGCGTTTTTTGGTCTAGAAGCATTTCCTGTGCACGATGGACGGTCCCGACTCGTCGTACTCCTGCTTGGTGATCCACATGGCTTGGAAGGTGGACAGGGAGGCCAGGATGGACCCGCCGATCCACACGGAGTACTTCCTCTCGGGAGGAGCGATGATCTTGATCTTCATGGTGCTGGGAGCCAGGAAGGTGATCTCCTTCTGCTGACGATCAGCGATACCGGGGTACATGGTGGTGCCACCGGACAGGACGTTGTTGGCGTACAGGTCCTTACGGATGTCGATGTCGCACTTCATGATGCAGTTATAGGTGGTCTCGTGGATTCCCGTGGATTCCATACCTGTTCAAATCATTTGCAATGACAATGTGTCAGTTATAATTTTTGGCAACTAGACAATATTTTTGAAAATGCGGTGGAGTTATGGTAATTTGAGCATAAACTTGAGACTGCTCTGGATTGACTTACATAGCTCTACATGTTTTGGACCGATAATGTAGAAAATGATTCAAAGTCAACTAACTGTGCAGAGAAGAAACGGCCAATATTACATCCTGGGAAAGGATGAAAGAGTCTGCCATACAGAATGTGACTGTTTTGGTAAGATATGCATTCAGAAGGTGGTTCTGTTGGGTAGATAGATTCCGTGCCCATTATGCATTACCCATGCATTCATATTTGTCAAACAAAAACTATTTTAGTCACAGAGAGGCATTTCATTCATGCATCGATATGGAAGGTGGGATGATGACCAACCGAGGAAGGACGGCTGGAAGAGAGCCTCCGGTGCCCTGAACCTCTCGTTGCCAATGGTGATGACCTGTCCATCGGGCAGCTCGTAGCTCTTCTCCAGACTGGAGCTCGTGGCCGCCGTCATCATCTCCTGTTCAAAGTCCAGCGCGACGTAACACAGCTTCTCCTTGATGTCACGGACAATCTCACGCTCAGCTGGAGATTTAAAACAAATAGATGATTGGGATGACGTCTTTAATAAACCAGAAGAATTAGTAACAGTTCATCATCAACGTTGAGAGGGCACTGATAATTGAAATATCAAATGAAGATCAATTGAAATAACAGGCAAGACAGACAGAAACGACAGCGGGCCTTCGGAACTGACAAAATATTTCAAGTTATAGATGTCACACATAGATGTTATGGACGGTGCATATTTTCACCTGTGGTGACGAAGGAGTAGCCTCTTTCAGTCAGGATCTTCATGAGGTAGTTGGTCAAGTCCCTTCCGGCCAGGTCCAGACGCATGATGGCGTGAGGCAGGGCGTAACCCTCGTAGATGGGCACGGTGTGGGTCACACCATCGCCGGAGTCCAGCACGATACCGGTGGTTCGGCCGGAAGAATAGAGGGACAGCACGGCTTGGATGGCTACGTACATGGCGGGCACGTTGTAGGTCTCGAACATGATCTGTGATAAAGCATGAAATATTATGGTTGATAGCAAAACTGGATTGCAAATGTGTGTGTGTCTCTCTCTCTTTTTCTCTAACGTATTTTATCTACCTCCGGGGACCAAAGCTACCCTTTAATAATAGGCCTTTATACTCTTTTACTAACTTGTGCAGTTTGAAAAGTGCTTCTAAAGTGGTTTTGTTTCAAGCCGGTCAGTCCTAGATCTGTTTCTTAAACTCACCTGGGTCATCTTCTCCCTGTTAGCCTTGGGGTTGAGGGGAGCCTCTGTCAGAAGACACGGGTGCTCTTCAGGTGCAACACGGAGCTCGTTGTAGAAGGTGTGATGCCAGATCTTCTCCATATCGTCCCAGTTGGTGACGATGCCATGCTCAATGGGGTACTTCAGGGTGAGGATACCCCTCTTGCTCTGAGCCTCGTCACCCACGTAGGCGTCCTTCTGACCCATACCGACCATCACGCCCTGATGCCTTGGGCGGCCGACGATGGATGGGAAGACGGCCCTGGGGGCGTCGTCACCGGCGAAGCCAGCCTTGCACAGACCGGAGCCATTGTCGCAGACCAGGGCTGTTGTCTCTTCGTCGTCGCACATCTTTGTTTATTTCTTAGTTCTGCAAAGGAATAAAATCGTCTAAACATAAAGTTTTGCCTGCTCTTACAGACTTCTCATTTTGTCTTTGTGTGGTTGGTACCGAAGGCATCTTAAAAAGAATTGATGTACTTTGGCTATAGAGCAACCCGAAGAAAACGTTCGTAGGATACAAAAACTCCATATCCCATGCCACAAACTAAAAACCTACACAAAATACGAGGATAATTCCGTAAATATCATTGGAACGCGACTTCATCAATCACAGTCTACGGCGACCTAAATTTTTACAGAATTTTTTAGGTATCGAAAAGAATGACAGACAGGCAGGGTACTACAGGACGGGATGATACATGACGATTGATGAAGAGTTGAGACAGACTGACAATGACGAATGTGTATCACTTCCACATATGACAAATGCCTGACAACTCACCAGTCTTGGGTATGAAAAAACTGTCGGTGGATCTACGGTGAGTCTCGGACGCTGCGTGTTTATGAGAGTTGTGCCGCAACAGGCAAAGCCAAGGCGTGTTTTTATACACTTGTGAAGATCAAAATACGGGGAAATCGTTCCCCTATTGAGATTTATTACCAGACAT